TGTTTAAAACTGCATGTTATCTTCCTTCAATCTACATCTTAAAGCCTGTGATACCTAGACATCTCTCTCTCAATTATGCTATTATTTATTTCTATGTCTCTTCCTTAAAAATAGTTTTCCTGTTTTGACAATCGATAAGCCACTTAGAGAAATTATTTTCTCTACATGTCAAAAGTAGAATCAAAAGCTCTGAATTTGGTCAACATGGAACTTCAGTAATTCACATTTTCTAACAGCCTGTTTCCATTTCCATTATTCCTGACTGACCGATAGACTGACAGATGTCTTACTTTAGAGATCCCAAACAGACTATTGGTATCTATTTCAGCCACATCTGTTCCTAAATAGCCTTGGCAACAGGCCACTCTGCACTCGGAATTAATTTTAAGTCCTTTATTGCTGACTCTTTCACTGTTGAAATATATCAGTGATTTTTTTCGTTATTGCTGCACTTACATAGAATATTTATAAATCTATACTTTAGATGAATATCAGCAAGAGCTGTAGTTTACTATAGATAAGAATACTGTACTTAAACAATACATTGATTTTACTTCATTATGAAAATATATATTCACGTTCTTTTTTAATTCATTATGAAATATATATTCAATATCACATTAACCTCTGAATTACTCCAGAGATTTTATTTTTCTTATTGGTCAATTAACTTAGAAAGTATGTTCAATTATTTATTTAAAAAGCAAGTTTTATCTAAATTATTACTATTATTATCCATATAGTCAGACCAAGCTGTCAATCAGAGAATAATTTCATATACCCTTCAGTCTGTTACATACACACACAAGAAACTACACTTATAAAGTTTTTCATAATGATCAAAAGCCTCCAGACTTCACATGCTGGTAAATTACTGAGCAAGTGCCAGTCTTGTTACACTTCCTATCTGACAGAAATCTGCTGGAAAACTGCAATTACTGTTAATCAGGAAACTCTATGGCAATCTTTAAAAACACACTGAAGGCTTTAAAAAAATATCAGGATTAAACTTCTCAATCAACAGCAAAAAACAGGCCACACGCATAAAGAGGATTTGACACTATTTGTATTGAAACTGTTCTAAAATACAAATGATTCCCACATCCGCTGCTGCTAATCCCCTACATTTCATTAGTTTTTAAACTTTACCCACACACTCACAAAATCCTGAGGATTTGTTCCTAAATACAAATATTTTTTCCCCATCCTTCAGTCATTCTTCTGAATTTCTGGGAACTCCTAAAAATCACATATAATATTCAAATCTGTACTTAGGATAGCTTTCTCTGCTATAGTTTTAAAGCAGCATTGAAAACAAGAAGCTCTACAGTTCAGGGCTGGATTATTAATAGGAGAGAAGTCTTGCCTTTTTCTTAATTTTCATTAATATAGCATAGAAATGCCACACAGAAAGAAGCTAGAGAAAAAACTAGTAACTACTGACTGTGAGCTCTACTCCTCATTGCAGCACCCCCTGCACTGTTAAAAGCAAGCAGCCAGCTCTGGGCCAGAGGGTATCTGGCTCTGGTGAGAAAAAAAGGCTCAGCTGAGCTGTACACCCAGGCTGTAGCTGCAGCATTTCAGAGGGAGCAGCTGAGCCGTGCCTTACACTGTCCAAATTCCCACTTGACACATTCACTCCCCCCCAGGCTCCACACCCAGTTGGCCTGCTCAGGCCTTACTTCTGCCCAAAGGTTTGTTATAATGAAGAACACACAAAATTCATAATGGGTCATGCTTGAGAGAGGAGAAGACTTTGCTGTAGAATGAACAACAAAGGAAGCCATTAAAAATCATCAGCAAACACGGGTAGCCAAAAACCTCTAGGAGATAGAAGCTGCAGAAATCAAAATGGAGTAAAGAATGAAGTCCTCCTGACAATCACACTGCCTAAATCCCCATAGGAACAGTGTAATGGGGCAGAACTATGCATTTATCAGTGGGACATGATGGGGTCCAGGCACAGCACGTGTTGCCTGCTTGGTAACTTTGAGCTGGAGCTTTCAGTTCTATTCAGAAGCCGAAGGATCCAAGGCTGCACAAACATACAAACATGTAAGAACATAGAATTGGAACTGCAGAACTGTGGATGACAAACGACAACTGCAGTAAGATAGGAATACATTTGGGGAACTAGTGGGGATGGGAGGTTAGGAAAAAGGGAAGAATGCAACTACCAGTTCTCTGATTTTGACAGACCAGAGCGATTGTCACAGAAGAAAGGTCTTTTCCTAAAATAGGGAGAATTACTACATACAAGTCCAAGCAGGAGACATTTAGCATCACTGGCAAGGCACAAAGACCTGACTTGACCTCTTACATTATGAAGCTTTTGGTTTGGACAAAGTGTGCATAAGCCAAATCCCAGTGGAAATACTTGTCCAGACAGCCATTAACCATCCCCGAACGCTGCACTGCTGTACTTATGAATGAGACCATAACACAGATGGCTCGTCCCAGCACCAGTACAGATCCCACGCTTACAATACCCCAGGGTAATTGCTACTGGGACCCAAGAATGAGGCAGAAAAAAACCCATTCAAGCTCCAAAATCCATATTTGACTGCTGCAACTGCAGAGGTAAAACCACCCTGACCAACCATATCCAAGATGGAAGGAAAAACAGACAAGACTTCTGTTGAATTCATCCCTCCAAGAGCAACAAGCCCCACACGGTGAAATTTCCAGTTCCTACTCCGCTCATCTTCAGTCACAGGCAGGCACACACAGAGCCATGCTGGCCCAAAGGAAGGGGTCACAAGTATTCTTCAGAATGCTGCTTGGGTAGATCGTTGTGTTCCCATTACAAAGAGAATGGAAGGATGGAAGGGTCTTAGAAATGGCCTAATAATTTTCCTTTTAAAATTATTTCAGTCTCCAAAAGATCCTGGAACAGGAGCAGATGACATAACTGTGGCACCTATGGCAAGAGAGAAACTGAAAAACCCTTTATCTTCAATATCAGTGTTCAACATTTAAGAATTTGAAAATGCTACAGTAAAAACTCATCTACCCCAGTCTTCAGGAAAAATCTGGCATTTGGAAGACACCACTGTCTTTTCCACTAAAGCTAGTAAAGAAGTAGGACATCAAGAGCCTCTCAAAAATCAAAACATTCAGCAGCTCAACGCTAAGTAGTATAAAACCCAATTGTCAGAGAGAGAAGTAACAGCATATATTTTACTGCATATACACATGCAGTAAAGCCCAAATTCTGATACCATTGACAGCAATTTGTCAATGCCACTCTCTGTAAGATTCCTGAAGTTCTGCTATCTGCTATATCTCTGACTTTAAGCACTGAATACTTCATTACCTTGCAGGAACTAAGAAAAGTTTTCAATGTCTGTATGTATTACTAATCTAAGGATGAAAAGCTGTTACACAAAGTAGCAATTTAGGGGAGTGAATTTTTCCTAGGAAAAAAACAAACACAAACCAAGCCAACCCAACCAAACCAAACACACACAAAATCCCAAACAGCAGAATATACTCCCCATTCTGGAAGCATGAAGCAATATATACAAAAATTTATTCTTCTTGTCTGTACCTTAAAATCCTTCACTGGTGACAATTAAAAGACAATCATGGGCCCTGGTTCCTGATATATGGCAATTCAACCTACATTCAAGGAACCAGAACATAAAGTGGCAATCATATTAGAGCTCTACACATAGAACTAAGTAATTAATAAATCATACTACAGATCATATACACAGAGACCTGTAGCTAATCCCAAAAGGGAAGGAAGAGAGCCTACAGCACTCCTAAGGCACCCAGACTGGCTCCACACGAGGAAGGACTGTACGCACACACCAGTGGAGGGGTCACCAGAACCCAGTGGTCCTGCTGAAAAGCAGGTACGTAAGTCTGAACACAGCACTACGTTAACATGGTTACACTAATCGGAGGAGAGGACTCAATAGCAGTGCATGGTATCATATTTGTTTGGTTTCAGTAGCTCTGGTATCCCAGCACAGTTACATGAAATGAAGCATAATGACTTCAGCCGTGAGCATCTCAGTATTTCTTTGCAGCAGCAGTACCGAAAATGCTTCCACATCCCTCCCAAGCCTCTGCAGCATACAGACTATCTTGAAAAGAAAAGGATCATCATAACATAGAAAAACTGGTACGCAAAAGAAAATTTGTTTCTCTCTATGCTGACTTTATGGCTGTTGGATCTTATCTATATGAAGTTTTAAGTTCTGTCCAAAATACTATTAACATAAACCTGGTCTTTTAAGCATGGACAAGTTAACTACAGCATACCAGAAGACAAATACACTGTCTGGAAACTGCATTCCTGAATACAAGTTTAATTTCTCCTTCACGTAAGCAGTGAGAGGTCACTGAAGTAAATAAGCACCTTTAAGAGTGCGTATGCAGTTTTAAAGTAAATTTATGTTTTCACAGTTTCTAGAAGAAACATGACTATATGGATAAGTTCAAGAAGCATTCCTTTCCTTCTAAAACTTTTATGTACAATTTGTTTCACTTGATCAAATCCTTTACCTGCACTTTCTCAGTGTGTTGCTGTGCAGAGCAACGACGACGTGCCTCGTCACAAAACGCAGGTGCATCACACAAAACAATACCCTCCCCTATGTGCTCTAATTTATGTACCTGCCTGAGAGAGTAAGCAGGGAACAGTTGATGCAGCAGAAATAAAATCAAATCCTCTTACTGCTCTGCCTGATCCACCAAGTATGACCCACCAAGAAGGAAAAGTTCTTGCCAGAAAGAGGTGGTTCAGGTACAAGACGCTCATTGCATTATGCGCAATTTCTTTTTCCTTTTAATCACCAGAGTAACCTTGAAGGGAAGAGATGCGCCTGACACCGCCGCCTTTAACCACTTTACTCTAATCCCGTTCTAAGGTGACTCTGCCCCGTCCTGCCCGGAGAGCCCCCGCTCGCCCCGGGCCGTCCCGCCGCCCGCTCCCCGCGGCATGGCCTGAGCTGAGCCGGGCGGACACCCCCTGCCCCGCCCCGTCCCACCTGTGGGGCTCTCGGGCAGGATGGGGCTCCAGCGGAGCCGCCGGGCGCTCAGCACCACGTCGCAGCTCCTCTTGTCGATCTCGAAGATGCCCCTGAGGAGCGGCTCATCCCCCGCCGGGGCCGGCGGGGCCGCGGCCAGCGGGGCCACCCTCCGCCGCCGCTCCTGGGGCGCCGCCCGGGCGCGCTGCTCCGGGCGCTGGGGCCGGGGGAGCGGGCCCGCA